ATCAATTCACAAATATGAATTCTCTGAAATTCAATTTGCCAGTTAATAACATATATAGGTAATCAAGTTAAACCCTCAAAACAGACTTATTCTACTAATAAGATCACTCTAACATTCGTATAACCTGGAATCATTAAAAATTGTTTTGCAATCAAAGTAATGTCTTGTGTCAGTGAATTCGCGTTATTAATTCAAATATGAAGAGGTTAAATGAACATTGATTGTACTGTTATTGTGCATTGCATGACTATGCAAATGATAATGAAATCAATTTTGTCAAGGTTAGCTATTCTCATTCATCCTCTTCTTCATATTCCACTGCAGCTTGTTCAGGTTTTCCATCTGGGTATTTAAGCATATCTTCAATCGCACATGTCACAGAGTCGTTTTCTAGGTACTTCTTGTTGATTTCCAACAGATTTTCGATGCTGCTTTCATGATGCACCTCCCCTACTATTGGCTTTGCGGATGCTCCATCTCTTCTGACAGTTGTTACCCAGTTTTCAGACCACTTGTCAAAGAGCAAATCAGTAACATACAGATCTGCAGTGGAAGCACGTTCAGCTATCGCTTCATGTTCAGCACGAGATATCCCCATATACCGAGACAACAGTCGGTGGTCTTTAAGGTCTTCTCTTTCCTTTTCTAATAAAATCACCACTTCTTGTCTTGTTTTGTGTGTCATCCACTTTACATCGGACTTGATACCATATTCTTTCAGAACTGTCAAGTCAAATCCTGGAATCAGTAAATCTGTAACCTCCTCTTCTATGCCAATGTTTTCATCATACAATGTGGTTTTCATCTTCTCTGCCTGAAGTACTTTCTCTATGGAGTAGGATCCAACTTTATTGAGGTCATGATGATGTCGCAAAGAGTAGGCACTAAGGACATGGAACTCCACATCTGCCCCAGGGCTTGTCGCATGTAGAACCTGGCGCAGTGTAACGGTCATCTTTTCCATCAATGAATAACACTCTTCAAGCTTTTTTCTTTGCTCACAACGAACAGCGACATTGACATCACGTTGATTATCAGAAAGAAAGACAAGTGCTTCAACGATATCACTCACTTTGATACCATTTTTCCATATACCACTTGGTGCACGGTTTACTTTTGTATAGAGATCATGGAGACGCGCTTGCAACTGAGGAAAGAAATTGGGGGAAAATATATCAGCTGCTGCCTTGCACAGGAACCTTCTACCAAAGTAAAGACATATTCGGACTTCTTTCCTCCACTGATCTTCTGGCATATATAGTGAAAGTAAATTTGGAATAATAAACTTCCCTCTATGGCCACCACCATAATCCTTTGCGTCCAATAGAACAATTATCTCAAAGTGGCCTAGCAGGGGTATCAGCATGCCCATATCTGCTGCCTTCACAAGCACTTCTTTGATGTCTTCAAATGTGTATATCGTCTGCGTCTTCAACTTCTCTGAGTACTGGACAAACAAGTCAGTAGCCATGAGTGGTCCAATTATTCTATCACAAAACCACTGAGGAACAAGTATTATCACATCTTCTATATCAGACATTCTGACATACAGAATCTGAAACAAACATATAAAAATAACACAATGACATCACAATAAATTGGATAATAGTATGATTATGAATATAATTTATAATCTGTGTTAATGCTCAATTATGACATGCATTGACCAAGCTGACATCCCCCTTTCATATTTTGACACCTCCCATGCCACATTGTACTTCATGCAATATTTGCTCACATTTCGTTCTTCAGTCAGATTTACATTAATTAACACCAGACTGTTCATTCGCTTATCCGTGCTCGCATCCTCTTCAAGCATCAGTTCATTTTGCCGCACCGTACGATACACATCGTCTCAGCAGAATTCCTTGCTAAAGCATTTCAGCCATTCATTTTGTCACAAATACCAGTTTTTCTTCACAACATCCAGTTCCAACATGCCTCGAGGACGCGGAAGATCTAACACCAGCCGTGGCGGTCGCAAGTCTCAACGAAATCGTCGTACTCCAGCTCGCTTCCAAAATGTTGCGACTATAGACGTAACTGACTCACCTCCGCAAGAATCGTCAGCACACATTGGAGATCCCACTGTACTACAGTCCACGAACTTCCCCAGCGATGTCATCACAGTTAGCAGAAGCGAACTCGCAGATCTCGTTCGTAGCCTACAACAGCAAGGAAACTGTCAAACGCAGCCGAATAATATTTCGCAACCGCCGGCTGCTCCACAACTGTCGGCAAGCCTCGTGTCATCACGCGACCCAAGCCAAACAACGCCATCAAGTTTAACGCCAACTGACTCTCTCACAAATAACAGCCTTCCGATTACCTTGCCAATAGCTAGTCAACATAATGCGATCGTACACAATAATACCGCTCATCAAGACAATTCGATGTTTCAACAACTTCCAGCTACTACAAGCCAAGCATCGCTAGCTCACGCTAATCCTAGTCAACAAAGTTTTGCTACCGGGGGTCATTTCAACGCAACCAACATGGCCGCTCCCATACAACGTTTCGCCGGTGAGGGCATTCTCACTTCCGCTTCCGGTATCAACACTGTGACACAGGCGATGCCGATGTTGAACAATGCCAGCATTGCAGTTCCTCCTATCATCCCACCTGCAGACTTGTTTTTACCATACGTCGACCAGCAAATACTCAATCAACTAGCAAACCGGGGTAAGTTTGTTGATTTGTCCGATTTACACCCTGACTCAAGAAAACCAAATGCCACCCAGATCTCAAACACCCGAGTGGCTTTGGACTCTGACGATCCCTCAGTCGCTGTTCTCTCAAAACATGCAAAAAAGAATGAAATTCGCGATTTAGCAAACTGGCTGGAATGTTGGTCAACATTTGCTGCCTATAGGGCACATTATTTTCCCCCATGAGGCTGTACATCTATTCAATTACCAGCGTCACATCGCCAGCCGAGCTCTTGAGTTCAAGCCAGAAGCATGGGTCACCTATGACAAAGAATTCCGTCTAGATTACTCACGTTACCCTGGCCTACGGAACTGGAGTTTGCCTAACAACCAACTTGACTACAAATTCTGTCAACAAAAACTCCATCTGCTCATTCCAACATGTCCTGACTGTCATCAGAAAGGTCATACCAAACAGGAATGCCAACGAAGCAGGAATCCTTATACATGGGTGAACGAATCTGCTGACAATTATAACAATACAGTGTGCCGTAATTTCAATCAAGATCGCTGCGAAACTCCATGCCGGTATAATCGTCTCCACATTTGTTCGTCTTGCCACTCTGCAGGCCACACTGCCATTAGCCACCGCGATACCGAGACGAAAAACCAGCTTTTTCGTGGCTACACACCACGACCCTTTCACGCCAATGATCATGCCAGCTCACGTGGTCGAAAATATGCACCCAAGCACACCTCTTAAGCTCGATTCCTTTGCGCAAGAACTGCACGATCACCCGGACAAATCATTCGTAGCAGCCATTTTATTTGACATTTCTCATGGGGCTAACCTTGGATTTCGCGGCAAGCACTACCCAAGATCTACACGCAACGCCAAGTCCGCTCGCATCAACCCCTCTATCATCACAGAATCAATCCAAAAAGAACTCAAACTTGGTCACACTATCGGACCAGTTAAACGTCCTCCCCTCAAAAAACTTTGTCTGTAATTCTCTTGGCCTACGGCCTAAGAAAAGTGGGGGTTTTCGCATTATCATGGATCTCTCCCAACCTACACTTGACAGCGTCAATGACAATATCTCAAAAGAAGATCATTCATTGGTCTACTCACGCATCGATGATGCTGTAGCCTTCATTCACAAGCATGGCCATGGCTCCTTACTCGCAAAAATCGATGTTAAACACGCATTTCGCTTATGCCCAGTTCGGAAGGAAGACTGGCACCTGCTCGGGTTTTTTTGGGAAGGATGCTATTTCTTTGACCGTGTGCTGCCATTTGGGCTTCGCTCAGCACCATACCTCTTCAACCGCATTGCTGATGCCATTCACTGGATCGTTAGTCATCGCGCAAGGAATAAGGATTTTCTACACTACCTAGACGATTTCCTGACAGTTGGACCGGCAAACACTAACGCCTGCCAGCACAATATGGATGTTATGCTGCAAAGTTGTCACCACTTGGGGGTACCCATTGCTACAGAAAAGGTTGAGGGTCCCTGCTCTGTCATCACCTTTCTAGGGGTGGAGCTTGACACTGTCAACATGGTTATTAGACTACCTAAGGACAAGCTTGCGGATCTACTTGTCAAGCTGCCAAGCTGGTTGACCCGCCATACATGCTCGAAACGTGAATTGCTCTCCCTCATTGGATGCCTCAGTTTCGCATGTAAGTGCATACCAGCCGGCCGCATCTTCCTGAGGCGCATGATTGATATCAGCATGACAGCCACCAGTCTTTCTCAAGTCATAACACTCACTGACGAATTCTGGCATGACGTTCAATGGTGGTGTGACTTCTTGCCATCTTGGAACGGCACAGCATCCCTCCTCAACCCAAACTGGATACCGTCCCCAGAATTCGAACTGTTTACAGACGCCTCAGCAACACTTGGCTACGGGGCATTCTACAAGGGTCATTGGTTCGCAAACACCTGGCCTACATTCATTACAAATGACCCTTTATACTCTATTGCCTGGAAGGAACTTCTACCAATTCTACTATCTTCCTTAATTTGGGGCCACTTGTGGTATGGTCTTCGAATACGGTTTCACTGCGATAACATATCAGTTGTCCAAATATGGAAAAAAGGCTCCTCATCATGTCCACGGATCATGCAACTTGTCCGACTGCTGTTCTTCACTGCAGCATCTAATAACTTTCACGTCATGATCTCACATATCTCAGGGTTTAATAACGATATCGCTGACTCTCTCTCTCGCCAACAGATATTGCGGTTTCAACGACTGGCACCTCAGGCAGACAGGGTCCCAACCAAAACTCCGGACCTGTGCACCCTCTTAACGGCTCCGATGTGCGACGTAGTCCCGTCAACCTCACACAACAAGCCTGCCACTACATCAACCTGAGCATTGCACCAGGTACACGACGGACATATCATGCGGGACAAACTCGCTATCTTCTCTTCTGTCGCATGTATGGAATGAATCCTTATCCACTAACGCAACGCTCAACGATTCTGTTTATGACACATCTCGCAACATCGTCACTTACCTATGGCACGCTAAAAGTTTACCTCGCAGCTATCATCCGTGCACACATCGAAGCTGGCTTCACCTCATCAATACGCGACGACCTCCTTCTTCACTTCACTATGCAAGGCATTAAAAGACATCACGGCGTGCCAAATCGTGTAAAACTCCCAATCACCATTGCACTAATGCGAATGCTTAAGAACACCGTCGCAAACCATCCCACTATTTGCGACCATGACAAAGCTATGTTGTGGTCTGCCTTTACACTGGCGTTCTTCGGCTTCTTGAGAGTCAGCGAATTTGTCGCACCCACGTCAATGACCTTCGATCCACAACGCACTTTACTGACGGCAGACATCACGTGCAACACAGACCTCGTCATTGCGCTCAAGGCGTCTAAGACAGACCCATTCCGCCGGGGATGTAACATCATCATCGCACCCTCACAGTCATCGGTCTGCGCCGTGCAGGCATACCAGGCGTACAAAGCACTACATAGTTCCGTCGCTCACCTACCCGCATTCCAGTTCGCCAACAGTAATTTCCTCACGCGGCAAGCTGTTAGCAACCACATTCGAGACCTTCTCACTCGCGCATCTGTACCAGATGTTAACCGTTACACTACTCACAGTTTCCGCAGTGGTGCAGCCACGACAGCTGCCGATGCAAATCTTCCGGACTGGTTGATCAAGGCACTGGGCAGGTGGCGCAGCGACGCCTACCAGACGTACATTCGCACACCCCCCAGCATCATCCGCTCAGTTCCGGGTCACTTGTCACTTGCTCTTCCTTAACTGTAATTTCGACATTTGTCTTGAGATTTCATTTCGTTTTCGTTACATGTATTTGCAGTGTATTTAGTTTAATGTTTCATCGGTCTAACCATGCTTTGTTTTATCCTATCGCGATAGACTTTGTAACACATCATCCTGCCTTTAATTTGGGGGTTTCCACCACAGACCAAGCAGACTTTACACGGGTACCCACGCTGTCCATCCCCCTGGGGTTGTGAGTCTATCTGCAGGCTCCCGCCAGGGGGACGCCAGCCATGACGCCCGCCTGTACAGTCTCTGCTGGTGGAAGGTTGCAACCAGGTACCACGCGCTCGGCGTCATGATGCAATTCACAGGCGAGTCGCATCATGGAGCTGTTCGCTGCGACGCCTGCGTCTGCAATTCGCTCCCCCTTCCACTTTTGCAAAAACCTTGTGTCTTGTGTCATTTATTGAAGCATTAATAGTATGATTATGAATATAATTTATAATCTGTGTTAATGCTCAATTATGACATGCATTGACCAAGCTGGCATCCCCCTTTCATATTTTGACACCTCCCATGCCACATTGTACTTCATGCAATATTTGCTCACATTTCGTCCTTCAGTCGGATTTACATTAATTAACACCAGACTGTTCATTCGCTTATCCGTGCTCGCATCCTCTTCAAGCATCAGTTCATTTTGCCGCACCGTACGACACACATCGTCTCAGCAGACCTCCCACCCACCCATTCATGCAAAGGTCTCTATATACCATTTTCTATACCATTACCGATCTCACTCAAGTGTAACTCATGTTTATCTGCTCATGAACAACCTTAGCAATAAACAGAAAGGGGGTTTCCACCACAGACCAAGCAGACTTTACACGGGTACCCACGCTGTCCATTCTCCTGGGGTTGTGAGTCTATCTGCAGGCTCCCGCCAGGGGGACGCCAGCCATGACGCCCACCTGTACAGTCTCTGCTGGTGGAAGGTTGCAACCAGGTACCACGCGCTCAGCGTCATGATGCAATTCACAGGCGAGTCGCATCATGGAGCTGTTCGCTGCGACGCCTGCGTCCGCAATTCGCTCCCCCTTCCACTTTTGCCAAAACCTTGTGTCTTGTGTCATTTATTGAAGCATTAATAGTATGATTATGAATATAATTTATAATCTGTGTTAATGCTTAATTATGACATGCATTGACCAATCTGGCATCCCCCTTTCATATTTTCACACCTCCCATGCCACATTGTACTTCATGCAATATTTGCTCACATTTCGTCCTTCAGTCGGATTTACATTAATTAACACCAGACTGTTCATTTGCTTATCTGTGCTCGCATCCTCTTCTAGCATCAGTTCGTTTTGCTGCACCGTACGATACACATCGTCTCAGCAAACCTCCCACCCACCCATTCATGCAAAGGTCTCTATATAACCACTTTCTATACCATTATCGATCTCACTGAAGTGTAACTCGTGTATATCTGCTCATGAACAACCTTAGCAATAAACAGGTAAGGGGGTTTCCACCACAGACCAAGCAGACTTTACATGGGTACCCACGCTGTCCATCCCCCTGGGGTTGTGAGTTTATCTGCAAGCCCTCGCCAGGGGGACGCCAGCCATGACGCCCGCCTGTACAGTCTCTGCTGGTGGAAGGTTGCAACCAGGTACCACGCGCTCAGCGTCATGATGCAATTCACAGGCGAGTCGCATCATGGAGCTGTTCGCTGCGACACCTGCGTCCGCAATTCGCTCCCCCTACCACTTTTGCCAAAACCTTGTGTCTTGTGTTATTTATTGAAGCATTAAGAGGTTAAAAAACCCACAGAACACTAGATTCCATTCCTGAACTACCATCCCCTCTGTTGAATTGTTTTATTTTAATAGAAGCCACAGCTTCTAATACAGATTTTACAGTACTAATTTGAAAATTATGCTAGTTTGTA